AATGGCTCATGCCTGTAATCCTAGCTACTCAGGAGGCTGAGATCTGAGGATCACGGTTCAAAGCCAGCCCAGGCAGGAAAGTCTGTGAGACTCTTATGTCCAATAAACCACCAGAAAGCTGGAAGTGGTTCTGTGGCTCAAGTGGTAGAGCGCTAGCCTTGAGCTGAAGAGCTGAGGGACAGCACCCAAGCCCAGAGTTCAAGTCCCATGACCGACAAAACAAACAAACAAACAAAAAACCAACCTGGAAGTGGAGCTGTGGCTCAAAGTGGTAACGTGCTAGCTTTGGGCAAAAGAGCTCAGAGACAGTGCCCAGGCCTTGAGTGAGTTCGAGCTCCATAGCCAACAACAACAAAGTCACTACCTTGTTTATGATACAGGGCAGTGGTAGATAAGAAAATAGAAATGAGACCAACGCTCCCACTATGAACAAGGACTACCCTCATTGGGACTTCAGCAGCTAACTTCAGCAGCTAATACTCTTTGAAAAGGTGATCAGGTTGCTGGATACCTTCTCATCAGTTAGGAGCACATTCAAAAGATCTTTTTTGTCTGTGGCTGGGAAGGTGGCTCAGTGGTAGAGTGTTTGCCTTGCTTGCATGAGGCCCTGGGTTCGATTCCTCAGCACCACATAAGCAGAAAAAGCCGGAAGTGGCACTGTGGCTCAAGTGGTAGGGTGCTAGCCTTGAGCTGAAGAGCTGAGGGACAGTGCCCAGGCCCAGAGTTCAGTCCTAACACCAACCAAAAAAAAAAAAAAAAAAAATCTTTGTCCTGCACACAAAACAACCTAGCCTGGCCTAAAACTTGGTTGGCTAATGGGTGGTGACTTAATTCAGCAACTGCCCAGTTACTAATATCCAAACCTTAGTTTGGTTTTGAGCTATGAAGGCTGAGCAGCCAGGAAAGCACAAGGATGAGGTGGAAGAAACACATCCCAGCTCCAATGAGCACAGCAGGCCCCGTTCATTCTCCTAGTGTGAGATAAAACATCTTTAAATTTTTTGTTGGTCATCGAGCTTCAACTCAGAACCTAGGTGCTGTCCCTGAGCTTTTTCTGCTCAAGGATAGTTTTCTACCACTTTGAGCCACAGATCTACTTCCAATTTTCTGGGATTTTTCTGGCTCTGAACTGAGATCCTCAGCTCTCAGCCTCTCAAGTAACTAGCCTTGCAGGCTTAAGTCACCAACACCTGGCAGTGACAGAATATTTTGTATCTTCACATAGAGCAGAATCTGGACCAAATTAAGACAGCAAAGGAAACAGATACAATATGAAGGCAGAGATGCAAATCATTTTACATTATTTTATTCACCCATCAAATACCTGTAGGATGGCTGGGAAGGTGGCTCAGTGGTAAGAGTGGTTGCCTTGCATGCATGAGGTCCTGGATTCGATTCCTCAGCACCACATAAGCAGAAAAAGCTGGAAGTGGCGCTGTAGCTCAAGTGGTAGAGTGCTAGCCTTGAGCTGAAGAGTTGAGAGACAGCACCCAGGCCCAGAGTTCAGGCCCCACAACTGGCAAACAAAAAAAAAAACCTGTAGGAGCCAGTGAAGTCAGTGTTTTAGCAAAATTGGCCTTCAACCCCAGCATCAGTGGCTCCTCTCATTTATACCTACAATCCTATTCTAGAGGCTGAGATCTAAAGATTGCAATTGAAAGCAAGCCCAGGGCTAGAAATATGGCTTAGTGGTACGGCACTTACCTAGCATACATGAAGTTCTGGGTTCAATTCCTTAGTACCACATAAACAGAAAAAGCTAGAAGTGAGACTGTGGCTCAAATGAGAGTACTAGCCTTAAGCAAAAAGCTCAGGGACAAGCCGGGCGCTGGTGGCTCACGCCTGTAATCCTAGCTACTCAGGAGGCTGAGATCTGAGGATCGCAGTTCAAAGCCAGCCCGGGCAGGAGAAACCGTGAGACTCCTATCTCCAGTAAACCACCAGAAAACTAGAAGTGGTGCTGTAGCTCAAGTGGTAGAGTGCTCGCCTTGAGCTGAAGAGCTGAGGGACAGTGCCCAGGCCCAGAGTTCAAGCCCCACGACCGACAAAAAAAAAAAAGCTCAGGGACAGTGCCCAGGCCCTGAGTTCAAGCTCCAGGACTGGCAAAAAAAAAATTTTTTTAATGAAAGAAAGCCCAGGCAGAAAAGTCTGAGACTTTTATCTCCAATGCCTCCAAAAGCCCGAAGTGGGACTGTGGTTCAAGTAGTAAAGCATCAATATGCATATACATATGTGTGTATATATATACATACATACATACATACAAACACACACACACTATTATATATATGTATATATATATATATACACATTATACATACATTTATATAGCAAGTTAGTGTTAACAAAGCACTCAATACAAAGCGGGTCTCATGGTTAATTTACATTTATTTGCTGATGACTGACAAAACTCATCAAACAGCAGAAGTTAAGAGTCTATTTTAGGGGGTGGAGCCATTTTTTAAAATTTTTTTTGCCAACAGCTAGAGCTGGTCCACAAAGAATAACTTAAGAATCATCTTCGGGCTGAGGCCTCTGCTTTGGGCAAACAGCAGGCGGATGGGCTGGTCCAGGGCTCCTCCAAGGCAGAGGCGAGGATCTACTCACTGGTCACATACTTGTGCTTGATATGTTTCCACAGCTTCTGCATTTAACAGACAAGAGCAGACATGGTAACCTTTGCTCCCCACTTTACAACTGCTCCCACTGGAGAAACCTAGAGCCATATTCTGGTTCAAAGTGTGCAGCTGGCAGTGGGCAGAATGAAAATAACACCAGGCCAGATGCACAGTTCTAAATATTTATAAAATCCTCATGCTCTACAGCTGGGCATGGTGGCACACGCCTGTAAAATGCCAGCTATTATTCAAGAGGTCCTAAATATCCCTAGATATTTCACTGAACTATTCCATTTTCCCAATGAACACTGGACGCAGGAGCTGGGAAGGTGGCTCAGTGGTGGAGTGCTTGCCCTGCAAGCATGAAGCCCTGGGTTTGATTCCTCAGCACCCACCACATATGCAGAAAAAGCTGGAAGTGGCTCTGTGGCTCAAGTGGTAGAGCACTAGCCTTGAGCTGAAGAGCTGAGGGACAGCGCTCAGGCCCCACAACTGACAACAACAACAAACAAAAAACAAAACTGGATGCAATTCTCATCCCTACAAGCACAGGGGGGAAAAAAAAAAGATGGGTTATGACAATGTACTAGGATGTCTTTCCAGATCAGTGGATGTGGCCAACGACCAGCAAAAGATGCTGTTTCTCAGGGGTACGATTTCCTAGGCATGAGGGCACCTTATCTGTATTCCCTGAGGTAAATACTATTATGATTTCTATTTCACAGATAAAAGGGAATCTTAGAGAGTCTAAGGAACTTGTTCAACTTGATGCTATGGTTATTAAATAGGAATCCACTGTACCCAGCCAGTGCTCTTTGATTTCACAGTCTCCTCTCAACCATTAATGCCAAGATGCCTACGCAGTTACGGTTAGCCTTGGAAACTGAAAGAGCTTTTTTTTAGGCGGGGTATGTGTGGGGGTGGGGGTGTCGGTTTGGGGCTTGAACTCAAGGCCTGAGCGCTGTCCCTGAGCTCTTTTTGCTCAAGGCTAGCACTCTACCACTTTGAGCCACGGCTTCACTTCCGGTTTTCTGGTGGTTCATTGGAGATAGAGTCTTATGGACTTTCCTACCCAGGCTGGCTTAGAATCACGATCCTCAGATCTCAGCCTCCTGAGTAATTACGATTACAGGCGCTCGTCTGAAAGAGCAATTTTTGTAGGTGCTTCCCATGACATCTGTGGCCTGCTCAGATCTGTCCTAGAAACCCTGGGGGGAGAGAAAGGTCTGGGCCCCACGCCTCACTTCCCACCGACGGGGCTGGCCTATTAAGCCCTGGGCTCCCCGGCTTCTGCCAAGGTTCAAGTGTGTATCAACCCCCGCGGAGGGGGGTCTACGAGCGCCTTTAACAGGTCAGGATCCACACTTTCCCGCTTCCCACTACAGGCAGCCTGAGCGCGGCCCACCAGCGCCCGCCCCGCCCGCCCCTGCCCCTCGGGCGGGCCCAAGGTCACAAAGGCGCCGGCCCTCACCCCCTCGTTCATCTGCTCGTAGATCGCGTCCGCGCCTTGATCGAAGGCGCGCTCGAAGAACAGGACGCCCACGGCGATGGTGAGCGCGAAGGTGGAGGTCCTGCGGAACAGCAGGGAGTACAACCTCCCGGAGAACGAAGTGGACGGCATGTTTCCTCCCAGCCGGGCTCGCACCACTGCGCCTGCGCCGAGGCTCTGCCCTCGCCTTCCAAAGGACTGTCGGCGCGCAATGCTTTATGGGATTTGAAGTTTCTTCTGGTCTCAGTGCTCGGTATGTTCAACCACGGAGGTCCCTAATTATCCACATAGAAAAACAAAATATCGTTATACTCATATGGACGCCTCCTGAATTTATTGAGATTTACTTTAGCCCCTGTACGTTGTCAATCACATCCTACCGTTTGAAGATGTCAAACTACAGCTGCCAGAAGGTCTTGCTCCACTCCCATCATCCCCTGCGCTCTCGGTTTATTTTTCTGAAGGGCGGGCTGATACCCAAGGAAGGACTACGAATCCCAGCGGGCAGTGCGCCGGACAAGGGCACCAGAGGAGGAGCCGGGAGCCGTCGGGCCCCGGGGAGTCAGGTACCATCTTTGGCGCGACCTCGAGGGGCGGGTTCCGCTTCCCCTCCTCCACACACTTGGGTTCTGCGTTCTAAATCCTGGCGTGCCACCATTTCCTGGGATGGAGAGGGTGGAGGGCGAGGGGAATCCGGGATTTCGGGGCCCCTGGTGGACTCTTCCATGTTACCCCTGTATCTGCCCGAAGTGGCAGATGTTCAGTCTCGGCCCCCCGCCCCGCCCCGAGGAAGAGTGGGCTCCGCACGTGCTTCCTGGCCTCTCGTTCCTAGGCCTCGAATCCCGGCCTGAAACCTGGCGACTTGGGACTGTTTTTCTAGAAAGGACTAGGGCTTTTAGCAAGGGGCTGAGCGACCCCTCTGGCCCCCGAGCTGATCACCAAAGCTTGAAAATCTGCTGTGGGAAGTGCCATGTTCGCCTTCACGAGAAGGCTGGATGCCTGGGGGGGCGTTGATGGTGCTGTTTTAACCTGAAGCCCTGCTCAGCAGACACTTGACCAGAAGACCTGAATGCTTGTAGTCTCGGGTCACACAGCCCATGACTACTGCAGGCCTTCGAGGTTTGAGGAGAAGTAGGGTGGACCAGAGACTTAAAAGTGGGCTGAGGGCTGGGAAGGTGGCTCAGTGGTAGAGCGCTTGCCTTGCATGCATGAGGCCCTGGGTTCGATTCCTCTGTGCCTCATAAGCAAAAAGAAAAAAGCCGGACGTGGTGCTGTGGCTCAAGTGGTAGAGCGCTAGCCTTGAGCTGAATTGCTGAGGGGCAGCGCCCAGGCCTAGAGTTCAGGCCCCACAACCAGACCCCCCCCCCCACACACACACACAAAACAGGGCCTGGGTCCGCTCTAGTCTGGCCTTGTAACCCCAGGGAAGAAGTCTTATTTTTTCCTAATTGCACTCGGAAGCCACTGAAGGGTTTTAAGGGAGGGATGTGAGAAGATCTAATTTACATTTTAATGCTATCATTTGGACTGATCTCTGGAGGACTGACAGAAGAGGGGAAGTTATTCAGATGGATCTGTCGGAGGAGGTTGGTGATTTAGATTCAGGTGTGGATTAGAGTAATGATCAGATTTGGGAGGTATTTTAGGAGAGAGGGCAGACCTAACAAGCTGGCAAATATGTGTAGGGAGATCAAGAACATCAGGTTTTGACCTCGGTGACTTAAAAATCAATAGGAATGATCTTATTCTATATTCTGTTTTGTATGCGCTGCCCCTTAGATTTGTAGCAGGCAGATGGGTTATGTGTGTAGAGCTTAGAGAAGGTGGCTGAACTGTAGATAAGAGTCATCAGGATGGGGGTGGCATTCAAAACCAAGGACTGGTCAGGAGTCCGTGGCTCATGCCTGTTTGAGATCTGGGGATCCGGTTTAAAGCCAGCCATGGGACTCTTTATCCCCAATGAACTATGGGAAAACCAGAAGTAGAGCTGTGCCTCAGAATGGTAGAGCACTAGCCTTGAGTCAGAAAAAATCTCGGGCTGGGAAGTTGGGTAGAGTAGAGTGCTTGCCTCGCATGCATGAGGCCCTGGGCGCTCTATTCCTCAGCACCTGTGGTGCTGTGACTCAAGTGGTGGGGCTCTAGCCTTGAGCTGAAGAGCTAAGGGACAGTGCCCAGGCCCAGAGTTCAGCCCCCACTACTGACAAAAAAAAAGTCTCAGAGATCGCACCCAGGCCCTAAGTTTAAGCCCCATGACTGAAAAGACCAAAAAAAGGGCTGGGAAGCTGGCTCAGTGGTAGAGCGCTTGCCTTGCATGCCTGAGGCCCTGGGTTTGATTCCTCAGCACCACATAAGCAAAAAGAAAAAAGCCAGAAG